GAGGAACTACCTTCGCGTTGTAGAAGATATGGCTCCTGTGCATCAGAACACTCAGTAAAATGTTCAGCGAGGCGAGTCCATATGGCCCGAGCAAAGGGAAGTGAACCAATTTCGACAGTGAGATCGTAGCCAACACAGCGAGTGAGATAATCAATAACACGAAATTCCTACAACTGCCAGTCTGAACACTCCTTGATATAGAGAGCACGAGCGGTCTGAAGATCGACATCACCATTGCCAGATGTAATAGTACTGGATAAAGTAATAATGCTAATAGACGGTGGAACTAGTCCCGTACTGGTGAGATGATCAAGCCATGTAAGGCATTAGTAACAATGGTGGACCACCCTGCCCAGTCACTTTGATCATTGAGGGGCAGGGGTGGTTTGGGAATCTTCTCTGAAGGAGCCATAACAGCAATCTTGAGACGTTAAGATGTCGAGATGCTGTTACTAATGTCGTTCGTTTGAGGCCGAGAGACGGCTTGAAACGACGATGCCGTTAATTTGAGACCGAGAGACGGTCTTGAAACGACAATGCCGTTAAAATAGAACCCGAAGGTTAGAATGAAACCCGAAGGTTTAAAATAGAACCCGAAGGTTAGAATGAAACCCGAAGGTTTAAAATAGAACCCGAAGGTTAGAATGAAACCCGAAGGTTTAAAATAGAACCCGAAGGTTAAACGAGAACGCGAAACGCGTTAAGAGGCCGCAAAACGACAAGGCCAAAATATCTGGCAGATGAACGCCAAATAATTAAAAATAAAAATAAAAAAAATAAAACATTAAACGGCTGCAAAGCAATAAGGCCAAGATTATATATATATATATATATATATATATATATATAAGTAGAGGAGGGTGATGTGTGCCCTCATAACCAATGTGGGACTAAACCCACTACTAATACAATATTATCAACAGAGGCGTATAACGGTTTTGAAAATGATTGTTCGATCCCTCAATGTTTTTGAGTGAAGGCTTGGACTTTTGATCTATTGATTAAAAAAACTAATATTTATGAATAATCAAGAAAGTTTTTTCCGTCTTGAGATCTATTGATATAAAGAAAACTAATATTTATGAATAATCAAGAAAATTTCATCCGTCCTCTATGTTCATAGAGTTGGGCGGTTATAGGGCTCGACTGAGAATTAATGAACCTTATAGCTAGAAATTAATTTTATCCCAAAAAAGTATAATAACTAGGTATTGATCCCAACTCCTATTTTAAACTTATTGCTCTTTTTTATCTTGTCAATTGTGTCTGAACTATCAACTATGCATTTGGAATATCACTATCAAAAATCCGTAGGATCTTCTGCAACTTCACTCATGTCTGCTACTTCACTTATGAGCTAACCAGATACTTCTACTCGGGCTATGACCTTAGTTCTGATACCATTTGTTGGTGAGTAATTGGGCCCGACCGAGAGTTAATGGACGTAAAATAGAGATTATGAACCAATTTTAACCAAAAGCTATAAGTATTGACTCAAACTCCTATTTTAAAATCATCACTCATTCTTATCCTAATTAATGTGGGACTATACTCATATGTTAATAACCTCAGCACGCTAATTGTCACCTTCACTAACCATGAAGTGCTCATCTTGACATCCAGTGCACTCTTGCTCTCCGAATAAAATCATGTTCATTGCACTTTTTCCAACTAAGCCAACAAATTTCAATAATTGAGCTCTCTCATGCATTTATCATGTTAATAAGGACTGCATTCGAGCACCAAGAAGCCTAGAATTTTTCCAAAACCATTAGGTTTCACCAAAATCGATCAGATTCGATCGGATCCTCACAAGCGAGTCCGAATCCGAGATGACCAATGGATTCTTTGAAGCGATCGAAGAGCTCAAGTGAATGGTTCGAGATCCTTCCGATGTGCTCAACAAGATGATCGAACGGCTCTCGTCTTGAGAGCTGTAGCTTGTTCTAGTATGCATCTACCAAGAAGGAAGGGACTCGTACTATGTATTGGAAGTGTTCGATTGGTTGAAGAAGGAGAATAGGGTCGATGGGGAGACGATGAAGCTTATGGTTCAATAGCTTGCGAATGTTGACAGTTAACAAAAGAAAGACAGGAAATTTTGCACTCTTTTTTTTTAAATTTATTAATGCAGAACAAGGCTTTATAAGCCAATTACAGAAACTGAAATCACCCCACGTTTTCACTAACAAAAGATACCTAAAAACGTGGCTTTATGAGCTTAACTAACTCAGATAAACTTGCTAACAACTTAGATCCATTCAGCTTCCTAAAATGAAGCTAACTGAAATTGATTAAGTCAAATTTAAACAACCTGAAATAACATGAATTAAAACAACTTGTGCACGTTTGAACTGTTTGTGCACGTTTGATCACTTCATTCAACACCTCCCCTTGATCCAAACTTGCACATGCCTATCTTCTCCATGAAGTGTTGATGCTTGACTTGATTCAGAGCTTTGGTAAACAAGTCAGCATTCTGAAAATCAGTTCCACAAAATTTCAAAGCAATCTGTCCTTCAAGTACCAATTTCCTGATGAAATGGTATTGCACATCAATGTGCTTAGTTCTGGCGTGAAATGCAGGATTCTTTGCCATAGCTATAGTAGATTTGTTGTCACACCAGATTTCTAATGCACCCTGTTGCTCACAGCATAAATCCTTTAACAGCTTCTTCAACCACAGCAATTGCTTAGCTGCAGCACCCATAGCTATGTACTCAGCTTCATAAGATGATAGTGCCACTGTATCTTGCTTCTTTGAGCTCCAAGTAATAGCTCCTGATCCTAAGTCAAACACTGATCCTGATGTACTCCTTCTGTCATCAACACAACCTGCCCAATCACTATCTGTGTACCCTCTCACCTTGAAGTCTTTTACACTTTCATACCAAATACCATAATCCAGAGTTCCTGCCACATACTTTAGGATCCTTTTGGCTGCTCCAAGATGCTGCTTTGTGGGACAATTCATATATCTCGACACAACACTGACTGAATAAGTAATGTCAGGTCTTGTGTGTGTGAGATAATTTAGACCTCCCACCATGCTTCTGAAAACTCTTTCATCTGCACTTTCTGTGCCATCAACCTTTTGCAGTTTCTCATTAGCATTCATAGGTGTTTTTGCTTTCTCACAATTCTCCATGTGAAATCTCTTAAGCAGATCATTTGCATACTTTCTCTGACACAAGAAAGTTCCATTCTTTTCTTGCTTTACTTCCAAACCAAGAAAGTATTGCAAGACTCCCAAATCAGACATTTCAAACTCATTCATCATTGAGTCTTTAAATTCTGATAACATGCTATGTGAAGAGCTAAAATATATGATATCATCAACATAAAGGCAAACGATGATGAAATCATTCATACCTCTTTTCTTCACATACAATGTAGGCTCATTTTCACTTCTGCTAAAGCCTGTTTTGATGAAGAAATCATCAATTCTGCTGTACCACGCCCTTGGAGCCTGTTTTAGCCCATAAAGAGCTTTTCTCAGTCTGTACACCATTTCTTCTTCACCTTTTCTGATGAATCCCTGAGGTTGCTCAACGAATACCTCCTCCTGCAATTCTCCATTGAGAAATGCAGACTTTACATCAAGTTGGAAGACCTGCAATTCCCACTGAGCAGCTAGAGCAAGAACAATCCTGACTGTCTCAAATCTTGCAACAGGAGAAAAGGTCTCCTCATAATCTATCCCTTCCTGTTGAGCATATCCTTTTGCCACAAGTCGTGCCTTGTGCTTTGAGATGCTTCCATCAGAGTTGTACTTAGTTCTGTACACCCATTTCAGTCCTATTTTCTGCTTATGATGATCTTCTTTGTAACTGGATTGTAGAGCCTGTATGCTTTGGACTCCATTGAGTAGCCAATGAATATGCACTTCTCTGCCTTGTCATCTAGCTTAGTTCTTAAATTCACTAGAGTATAAGCTATGCAACCGAAAATTCTTAAGTGACTTACAGAGGGCTTTTTTAATCTCCATGCTTCAAATGGAGTTGAGTTGATGACAGCTTTTGTAGGGGACAGGTTGAGTATATATACTGCTGTTGCCACTGCCTCACTCCAGAACTCATTTGGCAAAGATTTGGCCTTTAGCATACATCTTGCCATCTCCACCACAGTCCTGTTCTTTCTCTCTGCTACTCCGTTCTGCTCTGGTGTGTAAGGTGCAGTAAGCTCTCTTCTAATGCCATGTTCCTCACAGAAATGCATGAATTCCTGTGACACAAACTCACCACCTCTGTCTGTTCTCAAAGCCTTGACTTGCTTGCCACTTTGTTTCTCCACCAGAGCCTTGAATTTCTTAAAGTTTTCAAAGGACTCTGATTTTGCTTTCTGAAAATACACCCATGACATTCTACTGTAATCATCTGTGATCAACAGAAAATACTTACTTCCTCCCAAAGATTCTGTTTGCATAGGCCCACACAGATCAGCGTGCACCAGTTCCAGCCATTCACTAGCTCTCCATGACTTCCCACTTGGAAAAGATCCTCTTGCTTGTTTTCCATACACACAGCCTTCACAGATGTCTAGATCACCAATTCTAGGCAATCCATTCACAAACGCTTTAGTACTTAAGATCTTTAAACCATGAACATTTAGATGTCCATACCTGAGATGCCATAACTTGGCACTGTCATCACCTTTCACCACAAGTGCTTGACCTGCACTTCTTGTCAGATCCCATGGAAAGACTTTATTCTTTCCCATTGCAATTTTCATCAATGCCTCATTGCTTTGCTTTTCCTTGATCACACACATGTCATCTTCAAATACAACTTTGTAGCCGCCACAAACTAGTTGCCCAACACTCAGAAGATTGTGTGCCAGTTTTGGCACATACTGAACATTATGCAGGAGCTTTGATTTGCCTTGCTCAGTTGAAAAAGCAATTGTGCCAAGCCCTTCAACTGTCAATTGCTTTCCATCTCCAAGCCTGACAACACTTTTCTTGCTGTCATCAAGATTCTGAAACATAGCTCTTGAACTGGTCATGTGGTTGGAACACCCACTGTCCACATACCAGACAGTATCTCCTGCTCTATCACAATTATGTTGAGCCAAGAACAAAGGCCTGCACTTCTTGTCAGATCCAATGGAAAGACTTTATTCTTTCCCATTGCAATTTTCATCAATGCCTCATTGCTTTGCTTTTCCTTGATCACACACATGTCATCTTCAAATACAACTTTGTAGCCGCCACAAACTAGTTGCCCAACACTTAGAAGATTGTGTGCCAGTTTTGGCACATACTGAACATTATGCAGGAGCTTTGATTTTCCTTGCTCAGTTGAAAAAACAATTGTGCCAAGCCCTTCAACTGTCAATTGCTTTCCATCTCCAAGCCTGACAACACTTTTCTTGCTGTCATCAAGATTCTGAAACATAGTTCTTGAGCTGGTCATGTGATTGGAACATCCACTGTCCACATACCAGACAGTATCTCCTGCTTTATCACAATTATGTTGAGCCAAGAACAGATTCTCTTGCTCAGCATAATTTGACTTTTGCTCCTGCTTTCCTTTCTCCTTGTCTTCATCTTTTTTCCAACAAGAAGCCTCCTTATGCCCTGGTTTGTTGCAGTAGTAGCATTTTATAGGCCCCTTGTAATTTCTTTTGGAAGACTCCTCTCTTCCATCATTGGATTGGCCTCTTCCACGGCCTCTCCCTCTGTAGCCTCCTCTTCCTCTTCCTCTTCCATAGTTCTGATATGGTTTCTCCTTGTTTGAAGACTCTCCTTTGACATGGAAGGCTTTCTCCTCTTTCTTGTCATCACCTTTGGAATGTCTCTCTTCATGAGCTTGAAGAGACCCCATCAATTCATCAAAGGTATAAGTTTCCATGTCTTTGGATTCTTCAATTGCTGTCACCACATGATCATATTTGTTTGTGAGGCTTCTTAGCACCTTGCTCACAACTTGTTGAGATTTGATCTCTTCTCCATATGACCTCATTTGCTGGACAGTGCTTGACACACGTGAGAGATACTCCTGGACAGTCTCCTTTTCTTTCATCTGAGACGTCTCAAACTCTCTTCTAAGAGACTGCAATCTCACTGCAATCACCTTCTTGTCTCCCAAGTATTCTTGCTTGAGAGTGCTCCAAGCTTCTTTTGCTGTAGAAGCTGCTGCAATTCTTGGGAACACTTCATCATCCAGAGATTGCTGAATGATGTAAAGTGCCTTTGCATCCTTCTTTCTCTTGTCTCTCAATTCTTGATCTGGCTCTACTGGTGCATTATCAATAAAGCCATCTTCAACAATGCTCCATAACTCCTGTGATCTAAAGAGAGTTTTCATCTTTAGACTCCAAAAATGGTAGTTCACTCCTTTGAACATAGGCAACTGGGTAATCGAGTTCCCATTGCCACCAACACCATTGTTGTTGTTTTGCATTGTTTCTCTCTGTGTTTCCCTTGTGTTTAATCCTCACACGAAACACTCAATCAAACCCAAGAATTCTCTCTATGGCTCTGATACCAAATGTTGACAGTTAACAAAAGAAAGACAGGAAATTTTGCATTCTTTTTTTTTAAATTTATTAATGCAGAACAAGGCTTTATAAGCCAATTACAGAAACTAAAATCACCCCACGTTTTCACTAACAAAAGATACCTAAAAACGTGGCTTTATGAGCTTAACTAACTCAGATAAACTTGCTAACAACTTAGATCCATTCAGCTTCCTAAAATGAAGCTAACTGAAATTGATTAAGTCAAATTTAAACAACCTGAAATAACATGAATTAAAACAACTTGTGCACGTTTGAACTGTTTGTGCACGTTTGATCACTTCATTCAACAGCGGTTAGATCGAGAGGTTGGTTTCGGGCGAGCACGCGGTTGATGAAGTGGTGGAGCTTTTGAATGAGAAGGAGTGCGTTGGGGTCGAGCCGGTATTTAGTATGATGGAAAAGATGGTGAGCTTGTATTGGGAGAGGGGAAAGAAGGAGGTGGTTGTGGAGTTTGTGAAGAGTGTGATGAGGAGAGAGGGAGTTGGAGGGTATGTGATTGGTGAGGATGGGTATAAAGGATGAGGTAGGCCGGTTGGGTATCTTGCGTGGAATATGATGGTGAGTTTGCTTATGCATCGATTTAGATTCATTGCTGAGTTATCTTCCTTATTTTGAGCTTTGCATAGTAAATTCAAAATAAGATATGGACACAAATATTGATAGAAACAACAACAATAACAATCAATCGCAAAATTTTGGGTTACCTACATGAATCATATTCTATTCATTTCTTTTAGACTATATGCTTCTAACTACTATAATGTCCTTAGCAGCTTCACCAACACCAAGTTCTCTTATGCTACCTTTTGTGCTTCATGCTCCATTTATTATCATTTAACTTTACTGAACATGGAACGTGGTTTATATTGCATTAGTTTTTGAAAAAGCTTTCTAAAGCTCACTTCAAAACTTTTTTTAATGATACTCACATTGAAACTCATAACTGATTATCCCTTGGAACCTACGCCTCATACTTATAACATAACTAAAGTGTGCACTTCACTCTCCATGAAGCGCTTCTCTTTTGAAGCACATGTTTTAAACAACATAGGAGGATATAAAAGAATATTGGGTTAAATTACTAAATTGGTATATTTTGTTGATCCTAAGTATCAACTTGGTATATTTTCTTACTCCGGCGACGATAAGGTATATAAAGTGAGACATTGTGACAACGAAGTCTATTTTTTGGTCATGAGATACTGATGTGGCTTCTTACATGACATGTATTTGGGCTCATTCACTTGAGCAACTGAGTTTAAAAGAGTTTTTTTTCAATATAGGGCTAAAAAAAAGGTGTGGATTAAATTGGGTATTCTTCTTCCTCTTAGGATTAAAATTGGGTTAGGGCAATTATAATTGATTAGGGATATTTCCGCTTTGGCAAAATGGTTCTCTCTCACGTGAGCAAAGTATAGAGGGAAAAGAGAGCAGGGGGAGATTTTGAGATTTTTTTTCATAATGGTTGGTTAAAGATCCCGCCTAACCTTCACGGCATAAGCCTAATTAAACCACATAAGACGCTCTTGATGAGTCGCATGAAGTGATCTTGCCAGAAATTTTACTCTGCAAAATAGACCTTTTTTGTTACAGTGTCCCGCTTTATATACCTTATCATCACCGGAGTAAGAAAATATACCAAGTTCGTATTTAGGGTCAACAAAATATACCAATCTAGTAATTTAGTCAAAGAATATTTGACTAAAATTAAAATAACCCTAGCTCTTCATTCACTTTTCTTCCCAATGATTTCCCTTTTAATAAGGAAATTTAACGTTAGTTCATATATCTTTCAATGAGATATATATCTTATAAATGTCGCTATAGTTTACTATGATTTGTGCTATACTCAACATGCTTAATTCTTATCTACTAATCAAGACCTAGAATTATCTAGTAAATTTTTGTACAATTATATATTATATGTTTTTAACATTTAAAAGTTTTAAAATTAGAAGATACTTAACTTGTGACGCTTATGTCTAAAGCTTCGAAGCTTACGCCTCGCTTTATAAAAGAGTCTAGCTCTTTGCCTTGTGCATCTGCTGTTTTGAACATCATGTTGCACATGATCAGACTATCTCAATCGATTCTCTTTCATTTCATCCTTAATAGGAGCAATTTTACTTATTTCTTACCTTATCTTTTAGCATATATCCACAAGTATATCATATCATTCCTTTTCCTAAACACTTATTTTTTTTCTACGTGTTTGTATGTGTTCTTTTTTATTGTCCTATATTCTGGTCCATTAAGCATTGTACTTATAGGCGCCCTTTAGAATTTTCCCTGCCGTGATTATTTTTATTCCTAAGTAATTTTATTGCAGAAGCAATCACCAAGTAATATATCTAAGATAATATACCAAAAGAAATAATTAAGTTCGGGTGTGTTACAAAATTTTTAGATTCAGTAACTCATATAGCTCAGATAGAAAGAACGACGACAATGATAACAATAAAGGTTTTGGTCCTAATCTTTTGGGTTGGCTATGTGAATTATATTTTTGATTCTGTTCTGTTAAGGTTTATTTCTTCTATTAACTTAACCACTCGTATCATTTTAATTTACTTCTAACCAAGTTCTTTTAAACCTACCTCTAGCCTCCTTGCTTAAGTAAAATGAAGTATGTAGAAAGAAAACTATAGCAGAAGGTCATGGTAATGGTTGGATTGAGGGAGCACCTACTCTGTTGCAACCTAAATTGTTGTCAATCTTATTTCACATTCTTTCTCTTGTGTATTGTAGCCATATATGTTGTAATGAATATTGAAAACTGTATTATACTAGATGAATTTGTTTCTAATTGAGAGAAGATTTTATATATTTTGGTGATGGACTGCTTTATAGACATTTGATTAGAAGCACTTGGAGATTGCATGTAATGCTATTAAAGATATGCAGTATAGATTCTTAATTAAGGCTGAAATTCTGTATGTTCTGCAGTTACTTTGTGTGCTGATTTAGAAGTTTTGACCGCCTCTGATATTGTAAACTACATTGGAAATTTGATTTGATGCTAATAGCACATTGCATTACATCATTGTTCTAGCTACTTCCCGAACGATCATGAAGCATCATCTAATTTATTTTTGAAAATATATCTAAAACTATTTTGAATTTTATGTGGAAGAAGAAAACAAGTATACCCTTATGTTACTTGACCTTTAGTCACCTTTATATTTTTCTGCATCTTCGACCTTTTTTGAGCTACATTTACTTGTATTTTCTATATTAAACCTGTGTTTACCATGTTATTGCATATGATAATGAATATGGACCAGTACCACAATGCACCTTTGTATCTTATGCATTAAGTGGCATGTTCAGTTGCATAAAAACCTGTATTCCACCATGTTCTATGTACCCATGTTAAATAAAGCTTATGTATCAAATTATCAGTTCAGGGCAAAACTATTGATTTTGGTTGAATAAGTTCACATTGTTATCCATTTAATCACATGATGACTGTACATTGCTGTGAAGAGATAAGCTTGAAAAGAATGAACATTGAGTAATCTAATGCCATCTGATTCCTGCTCCATCTTGTATAAATTTATATGTTTCTAGTTGACTTTATGTTGGTAGAAAAATTCCAAATTAATAGGTTTTATGAAAATCTTTAAATTATCTCAGGTTGAGGGAAATTACACGGGTGCTGTCAAGTTAGTAATCAAATTCACAGAGTGTGAACTGAACCCTGAGGCTTACAGCTATCTTATAGCGTTAACTGCATTAGTCAAAGTGCAGAAAGAGTTCTCAAAAGCTTTGCGCAAGTTAAAGGCATTAATTAAGTCAAGCTCTGTTGCTGAACTCAATGATGAATACAAATAATATCGAGAAATATCAATCTGATATCATAAACTATGGAGTACGCTTATCAAATTGCGGAATCTAAGAAGGAAGCTCTATAATTTCCGGTATGGTTCATGAGAAGCTCCTCACAATTTACACTTGTGCAGGATTAGGGTTGGAAGCTAAGAATGAGCAATGGAAAATGA